AGGAACTAGCCAAAATATCTGAGATGAATGATCTCCAGGAAACAACTCTCTATGGTGATCTTGTCCAATTGTGGGCAAAAAGGGCATAATGGCCTCCAAAGATGATATGGGGTGCTGCAGGTGACACTGATAGACATTTGCAGGTCTCGGACCAGAAGGTCAAAACTGTGATTTGGTCTAATATCCAGCTTAGATATCTCTCTCTCTGCCACTTGAGACCATCTATCCTGGTTCTGGCATCTGTCAGGCTGCTTCATTGGGCTGAGGAAGGTAAGGCTACTCTAGATGGTCCCTGGGGGTGGAAGCTGTCCAGGAGTAGATGTTGTGGATTCTGAACCTCCTCCAAGTAGATGCCAAGATCTGACTATACCCTTTTTAGCAAGTCCTGGTATTGGCAGTGACTATCTAATAGAGAGAGTGGAAGGAGACTGATCAACTCAGGCAAGCAGGATACTATACTGGGCTGTCAGCTGCCCGTGTGCTCCGCGGCTTTGCTCTGCTTTGCTCCCCGTCCCCTTGGTCTGCAGCCCAGGGGGACAGGGAGCAAAGCCGCGGAGCCTGGGGTTCTTAAGTTGAATCTGTATGTAAGTCAGAACTGGCGTCCAGATTCAACTTAAGAACAAACCTACAGTCCCTATCTTGTACGTAACCCGGGGACTGCCTGTATGGCTAAAAGGAAGGGTCCTTCAGATGTGGTGGGCCCCAGAGGAAACAGTACCAAGGCCTCTGTTAAGTCATATGCCAGACAGCATGGGATGTAGGTCCAGACTACACTGTGAAAACAGTGAGAAAGTGGGTTCTGGCTCCAAAAACTCCTTGGACGCTGAATAAGGTTTGTTAGTGCTGGCTGTTCCCAGTGTAGTAGGTGAACAGGCATCTCTGGCAACAGCAGGACTTCATTCTCCAGGGTCAGAATGTCATGAATGAGCAGGAGATAGAGAGAAAACAGGGGAGGATCACTCTTCCACAACAGAAAAGCCTCTGATAATCCAAGGGTCCGCAGTGTGTGGGAGAAGATTCTGGATGGGCATGGCAGTAACTGCAGAGCTGGTTTATCTGGGAAGCATATGGGTACTGGTGGAGCAGGCAGCGTGCACAGCAATGAGCATGCTGCTTGCGTGCCAGGATCACTGTTGGATCCCATATGTGCCTGACCTTACCAGCCTCAAGCAAAACTCTTGGGTGTCAATCCAGTCAGATGTACATGCAACTTCTCACCTGACATGACATGGCTCCAGGAGGAAATGCTGCACTTGGGAGCATTCTGCAGTGAGAATCTACTCTTCCCATGAGTGATTTTTGCTCTATGCCGAGCATGTGTGGTCTTGGGAACAGCACTCACCACCAGTGATGGCAGGTCTTCTGGTTGAAGATTCAAGTGTGCCCTGGATCTCATTGTTTCCTCCATCAGGCATTTACAAAGATGAAGCTCGCAGGCTTCCTGGGCCTAGGGTAAGAAGGATTGGCAAATGTTGCATGCCTTGCTAAGACATCTGTGCTGCTTGTTGCCCACAGAAAAGGAGCATGGAAAGGAAACAGTTTTTGAAGCCTGGAATCTGGGACATAGTCCTTGGGGGTGGGGGAACAGTAGAGGGAATATAGTCAGTGAATGAGAAAAGAACTACACTAACTATCACTTGAAAAAAAAAACCCTTTATGTACAGCAAAAGCTGTGTTATCTGGCCCTATATCAACTGGTCCGATCTATAAACTGGTATTTCTAATCTTCATAGAAGGTTCAGTTGTTGCCTGGCTGGTCTTGGTAGGGGCACAGTTTGGTGGTTCTGCACACTGACCCTGCTCAGCCCCAAGCATTGGCTCAACAACTCCCACTGGCTGGGAACCGCAGCCAATGGGCGCTGCAGGGGCAGAACCTGAAAGTACAGCAGGGGTGGTGAACAGTAGGCCGAAAGGCCAGATGCAGTCCCTGACTTGCCTGGATCCAGCCCCCCCGTGCCCACCACCCGACTGATTTTTCTGTGGGTCAGTGGCCCCTCACCCAAAAAAGGTTCCCCACCTCTGAAATAGAGGAAGCATGCAGATCCACCTGGCCACACCTCCACCAGGAGCAGCTGTCCAGCATGACTGCCTCTTGGATCCAGCACCTCAAAACCCCTCCTACATTCCAAACCCCCTTCAATACCCCAACTCCCTCTTTCCTAATCAGAATTTTAAAGAAAATGTTGGAGAAATAGGTGAGTGCCAAGAACATGTCAGATAAATATTTTACTATACTTATATTCATAATGAAGCAGGGAGTTCCAGCTTAGGCCATGTGGCAGTAAGAGGAACTGGAGAAACTCTGCCTTGCACTAGTTCTTATACCTTTGACTGGGAGCGAGACGAGACCACTACATACATGCAAGTGAATGGAAATGAGTAAAACAGCTTCCCGGCTCATTCACACCCCCA